TTGATTTAAGAATTTCATATTCTAGCTTATAAATGAAGTAGGAACATACCAGCAACATCTCACAAAAATATCAAAATGACATACGTTACTGTGCAAATAGCATGATTATATAATGAGACCATAACATCTGAAAGAAATACATAATGGCATTTGAGTGATGTCCTGCATGTGCTGTGGATTAAGGTCCCTCCCACAGATTCCCAGTTTATACCATTCTTCATATGCTAATTGCCACAAGTTTGATTAAAATCTGGTAAATGTAGGATTATTTTTTAAAAAAGATTAACATAAAAATTAAGCTTGACCATTTGTTTTGGAAAATATCGTTGGTGGAAATATATTAATTTCTAATTTTATAGCATTTTCTATTTTTCTATTCCTTGTTTAGGATAATGGCTTTAAATACATTATTAATTCCTCAGGATCAGAAAGAAACGGTAATTGTCCTGATAACTAAAGAATCTAATGCATGTTTAGTTAGTATCAATTGACCTTTATTTGAATTCCTATTATTATTTTAACAACAACAACAACAATAATAATAATGTGTTTTAACTGGTCCAGAAGAGCAGAAGATGCCCTTCTAACATTATTGGATTAGATGGAAAAATCAGCATAATTATGTTAAAAAGACGCATCTTTATTTTTTACCTGTTTGACGCAATTAAAGAAATTACATTGAGATTCAATTAAGTTTTAGCTGGCCTCACCCTGTTTTCTTAGTGGTTCCACCTCATGACAGCAATTTTGTGGAAGTGTGGCAAATACACCCACATGCACCAACAGATTTCCTAATGTTGTGGCACACTATATCTGGTATTAGTCGATGACCCCAAGGATTACCTCTTAACATGGTAAAATAATTCAGTAATTCCAGTGACCCTGGGAGCAAATGGTACAGGTAGTCCTTGATTTACAACCATTTATTTGGGGACTGTTCACAACAGCACTGAAAAAAATGACTTATGACTGTTTTCACACTTAACGACTTGCAGCAGTTCCGTGGTCACATGTTCAAAATCCAGATGCTTGGCAGGTAGTTCAGATTTATGATGGTTGCAGTGTCCTGGGTTCGTGTGATCACCTTTTGCAACATTTTGACAAGTAAAGTCCATGGGGAAGCCAGATTCACTTTACAACCGTTTACTAACTTAACAACAGTGATTCACTTAACAATTGTGGCAAGAAAGCTCATAAAATGGGGCAAAACTCAAAACTTCTTGCTTAGCAACGGAAATTTGTGGTTGTATGTCAAGGACTACCTGTAATATTTTCTATATTCCCCCTTCCCCCCCCCCTTTTAAAAAATGAATAAGCCTTATTCAGTAAAAGTTTGCCTGGAAGCAGTGCTAGAGAAATATTTACTCACTTTCCAAACTATTTTTAATTTTGTGCATCTCTTTATTTGTCCTCAATGCAAAGCTGAAAAGTGTGAGTATTGTCTTTTCTCATAAGGGAGTTGGTCTATCTGTTGATTAATAATGAACTTACTGAGCTATAAACTAATAATCCAGTTTACCCCCATCCCACACAATGAGCTGATAAGTACCGGCTGAATCACTGATCATGCTGTGTAAGGGGCAGTCTGGATGAGCGCTTTTGTTTCCTTGCTCAAGCAACATACAATGATAAGAGCTTCCTTGTTGGCAGAAATCCAGATGATACATGCAGCTCCACTGTTTCAGGTTTGAGTGGAATGTGCTTGATTGTTGCAAATATTGTGTGGGAAGTTAATAAAAAATAAAGCAAGGTTTGCTAAAACAGCTCCTAAAAATATGCAAGTCAGTAAGTCTCCTGTTGTAATGATCTACTATGAAATAAACACTCTTGCTCTTCTTCAATTTCTTTCACATTTTGGGGTTTTTTGATGGAGGATACATGCCTTCTTCATCTGCAAATATGCTGAACCAAATGTGAACCTATGTGTTGTGATTAGCTAATTTATAGGTAAGTGAAGTGTCTGAATCTAGCCAACAGTGGTTTATTGAACAAACCCAGTTAATAAAATGAAAGTTTAGTGCAGCATTGACATCCTGCTACTGTACCGCCCCACTCTCCGTTTGCAGTTTGTTCATAAGCATCAATATACTTGGGGAAGCCACAATCTGCATTTTTAAGAAATACAGCATTAGCCCATGTTCACCAGTATGTTGTGACAATATATTTTGAAGGGTCTTCACGTTCTCCAGCTTTCATATTTTTTAGATTTTTTAAGAAACGAAATGGAAATTATCATGTTGCAAAGCAAAGCACCAAGCTGGATGCATAACTATTGCTAAATGGACGCACAGAGGCTGTAAGCAGCCAGTCCTTCATCAACTTCATCTGATGCAGTTAACAGACCTTCTGGAAACATCCAATATGTTCACCTTAGCAGAAACTCTTGCTTGTATCCCACTCCAGGAAGAGAGGAAAGCCAAGGCCAGGCAAGGCTCCTGCTTCATCATCATTGTGAATTTGTGGAATAGACTCCCTTTAGAATTGAGGTTTGCCCCGTGTTACAAACCCTCTGGGGGCTCTTCTGAAGAGCATTGGTGGCTAGTGAGCTCTCACTATCTTTTATTTTTACCAATAGTATCAATCACTCTGTACTGTGTTTTACCTGCTGATTGTTATACTTTCTAATCAGTAAAATAACTTTCTTCAGTGCCTTTGAGACTCATCTAGACTCCAAAAACAGGCTGTAATCCACGGGTGTCAAACTCTCAACGTCATGTGACGTGTTGCAATGTATCGCAACTTTTTTTCCATTGCCGGCAATGGGGTGGGTGTGGTTTTGGCGTGACGCATCCGGTCCATGGACCAGCAGTTTAACACCCCTGCTGTAGTCTAATATTTTCCCTTCCAAGATAGAATTTTGTGACTGGACAGCCCTACTATGGCAAATGTTGTGTACATAATACTGTGGTGGTTTTAAGAAAATGCTAACATTTTGTTTTCAGATCCTGTTAAGCATCATAAAGATCCATAATTTCCCCCCAGTATGTCTTTTTATGCACTTTTTAAAGGCTAGGAACAAGTGCCATTAACTCAAACTGGGATTGCATTTACTTCCCTATTTACAAATGCAGAGGATATTTATTGGTTAGCTGGAAGTGACTGGTGTGGTTTAATTGCTCTAGCAATGTGTGAGTTTTATTACTCATGAACCCTGGATTGTTTGTCCCAGGCCTAGTTTCTAATGCTGGCTGGCAGGCATGGTAAGAGAGGATAAAAACTTGCTTCATTCTACAAAGGGTGATTGATCTTTTTGCAGAAACAGGCAGACGTGATTAGATTATTTTTGAAAGGAGTCTGCAGAGATGATTAACTTTGCTTGTGAAAAAAGGCACGTAATATGCTCCACAAAGAAGAGATGGCTACTGTCACCGGACTGTACAACTGTTTAGTGGGAATACAATGAAAAACAGTCTGTTTCACTAGACGGACGCCATATGATTCCAGAAAGTCCTCAGTCTCTCTTAATATTATAAAGTAAGCGCAACTTGCCTTTCTCATTCGGTTTTCCCAGTAGAAATCACATGGATCTGACAGAGTTTTTCAAAAGGGAGATTCAGCCAGGAAACCAAAAAGCAAGAGTGCCTCTGAGAGTGTGCAGGCTGCATGCCCTCACGCTGAACAGTCACAACTGTTTCCAGCATACCTGAAAGTAATCTTTGAAGGAATACAACTGCTCCATTTTAAAATTCAGAAGATCTCTTTATGAGACTACTACTGGATAAAAGCAGATAAATATTACTCTGTGTGTGTGTCAGTGTGAGGCTGTGTGGGTGGTTGAAGAGGGAGGGGGGGAGAGAGAGGGAGCTTATACTGTAGTATCTAATACCACTAGATGGCACCCACTGGCAATTTTTTAAGATTTAGCCAAACTGTCTCATAAATTTGGCCATTTAATTATATATCTTTGAAATGTTTCTTACAATTTGCAAATTTTGCTGACTTCCCTTATAAAGGGACATGTGTTTGGCTTATGCTGAAATCTATGATTATTTCTTGTGCTGTAATCTAATCCAGATGATTGGACCTTGCATCACTTCCCAAGTTTTTAAATGCAGCTCCAATATATCCCTTTTTAAAAGTGGAGAGGAGAGCCATTCCCCACAACATGCACACAGGCAACTGCTCGTCTTCTTAATCCCATCTTCCTAAAAGATTGGCTGAACAGTGTATGCAACCTGTAGGTAACCACCAGAATACTTTGGCTAAGACTGCTAGCTTTGTGCACCCTTGAGAGCTGAAAGGGTTTTAAAAAGTTGAAGAGCAAAATAAAATTGGTGCACACTTAAGGCTTATTGCCGCTGCTTGAATGCAATGAGTACAGGAAGTCCTCGACTTACAACAGTTCATTTAGTGAGCGTTCAAAGCTACCACAGCACTGGAAAAAAAGTGACTTATGACCATTTTTCATCTTCTGTAGCATTCCCATGACCATGTGATCAAAATTCAGATTCTTGGCAACTGGTTCATACCTAGGACTGTTGCTGTGTCTCAAGGTGATGTGATCACCTTTTGCAACCTTTTGACAAGCAAAATCAACGGGGAAGTCAGAATCACTTAACAGGTGTGTTACTAACTTAACTGCGGTGATTCACTTAACAACTGTGGAAAGAAAGGTCATAAAATGGGGCAAAATTAACTTAACAAACACCTCCCTTAAGAACAGAAACTTTGGACTCAGTTGTGGTCATTGTCGAGGACTACCTGTATTACATACATCAAATGTGTTATCTGAAACAGGCAATGCTACAAATGTGAATTCTGCAAGTTCATTGCAATCCCTAATTTGGCCTTATGCAGTTTGGAAAGACATCTCTTATCTAAAATGAGATTCTTATTGGGAAATATCCCAGGCCTACAGCTGCCTGTATGACTAGAGAGAATCTCTCTAGAACAACCATGTGCAAGTACAAAATGTAGAAAACTTTCCGTTGCAGCAAATGTACAGCAGAGGACGGTAGTTGTGTTCTTTGCAATCCTTACTACAAATTACAAGAGACCCCTTTATGAAAACTTTCCAATGTTTTATTACAGTCTCAATCCAGAAAATATCATTAGTTCATGGGATATATACATTCTTACATGGAACCCCCTCGCCCCACTTTTTAAGTAGACAATTGTATTTCATATACATGATATATATCAAACATTAAAAAATAAGTTCGGGGATTCCAAGGCTATTTGTGGTCCCCCAGACAGTCCCTCAGGCTTTCACGCATACATTTGCTTTTCTTGGTCATACATCAGCCGTAAGCAACTAAATGCATACAAACCCTCCCAAATGTACTGGCCAAATAGAGAGATTGGCAAGAAATGCTATCAGGAATTACTTTCATAGTTCAGTAATCTGCAGTTATTAAGAGTCTCTGCTGCCCATTTCAAAAAATGGAGTTACCTTTGTCTATGGCAGGGGTGTCAAATTGCCAGCCTGCGGGCCAGATGCGTCATGCCAAAACCGCACCCACCCCATTGCCAGCAATGGAAAAAAACGTTGTGACACGTCACGTGACGTTGCGAGTTTGACACCCCTGGTCTACGATCAGTGAGACATGACTAGGTTACACAGAGCACAGCTCAATAAAATGTCAGGGTTTTTATTTGGTTCCATTAATGCAATTCCCCTATGCTGCTGTCATAATGCTGTTTAGTATTTAGAAGTAAACTGAGTTTGCAAGTTAAGATGGTAGCAAAATGCTAATTACTGAGATAAGTGCAATAATGTCATTTTTTTCCATTCTAATCCATGTTCCAGGCTTCATTTAAAAGTGGTAACCACCACTTGCCTTTAAAAATATAAGCACTTAAAAGAAAAAGAAAGTCCAGAAGGTTTTTTCTTTAAAAAAACATCAAACACTTGAAAATATTTTAACTTGAAAAAAATTGGCTCATTTTTACTGAAGGACACAGTTTATAGAAAGTATTTTAGAAATGCTAAGTTTTTAAATGGTACACAAGTTCAGAAAAAAAGAGAGTGATTTCACTCTCTGTCCAAAACTGAAGTCCAGATTTTTAGCCTACCTGGGAAGAGCACTTCTGAAAAAATATTGTGCCCTGGGACCCAATCTTTACTATGGTTTTTAAAAATTATTTTTCTACCTCAACTACCTCGAAAATATTGTACTGGTACTGGGTGGTATATCTGGAGAATAATCTGGCTCATTTAGTGTTCCACTAAAGATCACTTTAGTTGTTCAACAGCTTAATCAAAGTTCAACATATCCACCTCAGTATTCATGTAGCTTCTCAGTCTATTCTGAGAATGGTCAAAAACAACCAACAAAGGAAGAAGCTATTGAAAGCAGCCAGAAAGTAATAATTAGAGGAGAACATATATAATTTTGGGCAGTGGTCATCTCAAAGATTTCTCCAGGCATGCACGTGGCCTCTGTCCTTTCCTTACACTATGTTCAACAGTAGCACAAATTGTATTATTATAAAGCTAAGGTGCTGCTGGGAATGAGAAGAGAAGGGTATATTTTCCTTCCTTTTGTTGCTGCTTTCAGATTTCTTCTTCCTCGTCTCCTCGAAATCCTCAAATCAGGTTCCAATACATAGTGAATTAAGTCTACTATGAGGCCAAATGAGCTGCAGCTAGTCAGAGGAACAGAGGTAGCAATATTGGTTCTCTATCCTTAAACCAAAGCAAATATCTTATTAACAAGAAATACCTTTCAAATGCTATTCAGGCTTTTGCCAAAAGACTAATCGGGGATAGACAAGCTTCACATTTCAGGATGGACTGCAATTCCCATCCATTCCCTATTATTTGTCATGGTAGCAGTTCACGAGACTTATAGTCCAAAATATCTGAAAAGTTCCAAATTGCTTATCTCCTGTGGAGATCATAATGTATTGCAGTTTGCTGCACCACCTCTGCATTGGCCATTCTCTTGTGCAACTCAGAATATGTAACTAACCCACCAGAAGCTGCTCTGAAAAGAAGAAAGACCCACAGACAAATCCAAGAACCAGCTGCTCTAAAGTAGAAGACAGTCCTTCTTATGGCTGGCTTCCACTGGAACACAACCATTTTCCACTGTATGAAAGTATCAAGAATTCGTTCACTTGGAAAATTTTATTTTTACATCTTGGGTTTTAGAAAAGTCCAGAATTATTGTGTGAGTAGAGAATATACATTTCTATGCTGGAGCAATTTATATGCAAAATTACATTGTACAACACTGGATGACAAAATACTTGGCATAGACAGGACTAGCACATTGATCCCATCTTTTATCAGAGCTGAAAGATTTTTTTTTTTTTATAAAAGGCTGACTCAGGATCAACCACACCATAAAAGGCATCTGTGGATGGTCAAAAAACCTCTGTCCCAGAGCAGTATTTCTGGTTTTTATATTCTTATCAGGAATGAGATAATTTTTCTCTCATCAAGGTTAAAAAAAAAACCCAACCACTTACTTTACAAAATATAATCATCATTCAACAAAAATATCATCATCCAACAAACAATAAGAAATGCTCCAGTGCATTGATAGAGTTCATTAAAGAAATCCGGTTGGTAATACACATCTCCTTTGTTGGGCAGTTAAATGGACCTAGAGATGTTCTCTGCTTTGAACACTTCTCCAGCACAGTTTATAGCCCTCCAGGGCAATTGCTATTCAGTCCAAAGCATTGTCATAGAATGGAGTCTTATATACATTTTCAACAAAGCTGTTCCAGTTTTTTCATTTGAAATTATAACAGGCACATTTAAAAAAACAAAAACAAAAAACAAGCAGTCTGCTTCCTCCAAGGATCTTTTTTACTTAAAAAAAAAAAAAAGCCTGTAAAAATATTCTGCACAACCATCTATATCCATCTAAGAAGGCAAATATACATAGGTAATAAAGAGTTTTTATCTGTGCATCTGTTATATTCGCAAAACTATCAGTCCTCCTTGGCTGGCCTTTTTATCTCCAGATGCTCTGCTTTGCTGATACGACTGCAAGACACATAAAAATAAATGAAGCGATCCCATTATTAAAGCTTAACGTTTGAGAAACAAAAGGATAATAAAGTGTGGAGTTAAATATGTTATTCCATGCAATTGCAGATTTAATGAAAAATAGTGATAGTCTTTACAATGGCTTCTTCAGAAATAAAGTCTAGACTTGGAAGTTGCTACGTATTTTAAATAACCTGATAGGCAGAATGTAACTCTTCTTTAGCAAACATAATACTTTCGATTTACTGTGAGCCAAAATTGGCATTTCATTATTATGGGCTCCTGGATTTAAAAGCAGCCTCGAAATTCAACCTCCTCCAGCAAAGGAAAAACAGTTTGAGGAAACTAATTCGATTTAACAAAGCAGAATGAAAAGAAAGAGAGAAATATGGAGGATCTGGCTTTTGTAACCTCTTCTTTCTAGGATCATGGTTCAGGAATATACTCAAAGCACTCTAATGAAGGCTGCTGGGATTAAGAATATGATAGCAGAATAATTATTGCAGATTTAAATAAAAGGGACTTACACAGGAGAAATAAACAGTACAGTATCTGTTTATAGTAATATATTCTCAAAGCATCAGAGACAATTTCACCAATTAAAACCAATTAGGCTTTCCAAGATTGAAATCGGGAGTTTGAGCCTAAGCCTGAACCATGCTCTGAGTTTATCTAACTAGGTCATGGAGTATGAGGTTTTTCTGAGAAGTCACCTTTTTCAATTGGAACTATTATTCATTATAAATTTCCTTCCAAGTACAAATAGCATTTTTAAAATCAGTGGAATATAATTCCTCAGATGTTTAAACTGTTTTTAAGGACTCTGAATTAAATCCCTTCATTTCCTATTCTTTCATTACCTTAAAAAAACATGGCACCTCAAAAACACATACCAGTAGTCCTTGACTTACAACGGTTTAATGACCCTTCGAATTTACAATGACACTGAAAAAAACTGACTTATGACTGTTTTTCATACAACCATGGCAGCATCCCCATGGTCACGTGATCGAAAGTTGGATGCTTGACAACTGGCTCATATTTATGATGGTTGCAGTGTACTAGAGTCATGTGATCACCTTTTGTGACTTTCTGACAAGCGAAGTCAATGGGGAAGCCAGATTCACTTAGCAACCATGTTACTAACTTAACAACTGCAGTGATTAAATAACTATGACATGTAAGATCATAAAATGGAGCAAAACTCACTTAATGTCTCACTTAACATAAATTTTGGCTCAGCTGTTGCTGTTAAGTCGAGGATCACCTGTACTACTCTGGTGTACTTTGAAAAAAATCAGTACTCATGTTCTTAATCCATGATATTAATGTACTTCTCAAAAAACCTACTGAAGTGGAATAAGAAGTGAAGGCTATAATAATACATCTACAAAACATAGCCAATACTGTAAAACAAAAAATACACAAACTCTCTTTTGACATCCATTTTTATAAGTGCAAACACATAAACCAAATCTGACACATTGAAGGAACTTGGTAGAAAGATCCAGATGAAGAATAAGCACATGTAGGGCAATGACCTTGCTAGTGAAGTTGTAAAATATCCTGAACTAGAGATTGCACAATCCCCCAAATCAACTGAACGAACAAAACTAAACTGGCAACTGCTCTAGCAACTGCTTCAAACATGATGCAGTTTGAATAACAATAAGCAGAATGTTATTAGTAAACATCTACCACTCTCCCAGTAATCTCACAGGCATGCCCGCAGTAGACTGTATCAAGTCTTCAGTCCCTGCCTGTCAATTTAAACATCAGGAGCCATTTTTGAAACTCTACTTACTCCTGTACTCCCCCCCCCCACCATTTGCCAGGTGTGATTGCTGGCTTTGATAACCATGGAAAGACAAGAGGAAATAGGAGGAGCTAACACATTTGTAATTTCTTGTAGCTGGAAACTACCCCCACCAAAGTAAGACCATTATATCTGGAGACCTACTTGACAAGACAAGACAAGACAAGACAAAAGAGACTTAGGCCCCTTCAAACATACACACCCTCAGGGTTCAAGCTGGACACCAGGGGATTCTGCAGGTTGCGTGGACTGCCGAGGAAATGCTTGGCTGTAGTTCTGGGAGATGAGTCTCTGCCGAGTTCTGACAAATCTAAGGAAAATGATAGTTTAATATAGCTTCCTTGACCCAAAGGTGCATTTCCTTGATCAGAACAGCTTTGATTTTCAAGGCTCACATTTCAATGTATGCATACCAACTATTTTACTATCCTTCTGTACTTCCACTCACAATCCACATTCAGAGATGCCCATTTTTATCCATGGTGCTTTTTTTGGGTGCAGCGTTGACTAATGGTGGCAGAGTTGTGACCCAGCTCATAAATCCATCATTTATTCATATATCAGCATTAGTGAATATTAATGACGCCAATTTTGTTTTCCTTCGCTCTTCTGAGAAAGAAGGGGAGGATCCAAACCTTTGAGCTGGATCAACTGTAATGGCAGGAGAGCTCAAGGCAAAAGAGTGGAAGTGGGAACCAATAATTCCCAGGCTAGAAACTTGTGTTATGTAAACATGTTTGTTTAGCACATTTCTACATTGCCCATTACATCTAAGTGACTCTGGGTAGTTTATACAGATAGTCCTCAACTTATAACAGTTCATTTAGTGAGCATTCAAAGTTATAAATGCAACTGAAAAAAGTGACTTATAACTGTTTTTCACACTTATGACTGCTGCAGTAGCCCCCTAGTCACATGATCAAAATTTGGACGCTTGGCAACTGACTCACATTTATGACAGTTGCATTGTCCCAAGCTCATGTGATCACCTTTTGTGACCTTAACAGGAAGGTCAATGGGGAAGTGAGACTCACTTTACAACTGTGTTACTAAGCAAGTGCAGTGATTCACTTAACAACTGTGGCAAGAAGTTGTTAAGTGAATCACTTAACAAATTTTCGCTTAGCTTACAGAAAGTTTGGGCTCAATCGTGTCGTAAGTCGAGGACTACCTGCTCTGGGGGCAAATGTTCCAAAGGGCAAAGGTAACAATAGAAAGGGCTCTTTCCCTGGATCCCACCAATCGAAATCTTTAACATATTTCAGCTAATCTCAGCTGCTTCCACCCAAGACCATCAAAGGACCAGCTAAGTATCTGTAAATTTGGAAGGTCAGGAGGCTTTGGAGGGATTCTGATTTGCTTTGCTATTCTGGGCAATCACGTCTGAGGATTCATTCTTATCTACAATTAGGTTTGTAAATTACCGTATATGCCGGCGTATTAGGCGACCCGGCGTATAAGACGACCCCCGTCTTTATAGCCGGGCCGCATTCCTAGAACGTCGTCTTATACGCCGGAAACTACCAGTATTTCCAGCGTATAAGATGACTCGGCGTATAAGACGACCCCCGTCTTTGGCGCCGATTTCAGCGCTCGCGGAAGTCGTCTTATACACCGGCATTTACGGTAGCTGAATTGTATTGAAAAGTCTAGTCAAGAGCTGAATGAAAAGCATCTGGAAACCTGTACAGGTAGTCCTCGACTTACAACCATTTGTTTAGTGACCATTCGCAGCTACGACGATACTGAAAAAAAGTAACTTATGACCATTTTCATACACATTTATGATGATGCAGCATCCACATGGGTCATGTGATCAAAATTTGGGCACTTGGCAACTGACATGCATTTATGACTGTTGCACTGTCCTGGGTCAAACGATCACCATTTGTAACTTTCCCAGCAGGCTTCCCGACAAGCAATGTCAATGGGGGAAGCCAGATTCACTTAGCAACCATATGATTCACTTAAGAACTGCAGTGATTCACTTAACACCGGTGGCAAAAAAGGTCATAAAATGGGGCAAAGCTCACGTAAGAGCCACCTTCTTTAACAACAGAAATTGTAAATTTGATAATGGCAGCTAGATTAGTGATGGTTAAATATTGGAGACGGAATTGGGTTATTCAAAGAAATGAGTGGTATAAGGAAATATGGAACATGGCAATAAATGATCAATTAACAACAGAAATTAAATTTTAAAAAAGGGATGATTAAATTAAATTATTATAATGAAATATGGGAGGATTTTATAAAAACCGTCTTGGTGGAAGGCAAAGGGAATAAACCTACTCAAGAATATATGCTGTTTTGGAGGGGATAAGGGCACAATTGAAATATATTGTATATTGTTAGTTGTTATATGAGAAGAAATATAGGGAGGTAGGTGCACTATAATATTTGTATTTTTAGTACTGTTTTTGATTATAATATTTGTATTTTTAATACTGCTTTTTTATTTAGACTTGTATGTATTATGTTTATATTATTTGTATTTGAATAAAAATTTTAAAAAATAAAACAACAACAACAGAAATTTTGGGCTCAATTGTGGTCAAGAAGACGAGGACTACTTGTAATTTACTTCTGAGCCTGAATTTGAAGCTTAATAATTAGAAGGCAAATAAAATTCATAATATTGTTTGCACTTGATGGGTCATGCCAAGATAGTGTCAGTGATCAGCAGGTTTCACAACAGCTTTGAGCTCAGACGGGCCGTATCAATTTTTCAGGAAGCTTAACTCAGGTTAAGTGATAGCTAGTCAAATGCTACACTTTACCAAAAAGGCATATTGTTTCTACAGCAATTGTTTATTTAAACTGAGATTTTTGAAGGCTACACATCAAGGTCATTATCGTAATATTCTTCACTCTTTCTTCTAAAGCAAAGATGGGAAGTTAACACAGACCAAATCTCCGTAATATTTACTATAAAGTCAAGTCAACCACAGATCCTGGTGACCAAATGGACACACCCTCTGCAGTTTTCTTGGAAGGCAAAGTATGGATTTTTCAAATGTTCCTAGTCTAAACTGCAGCCCCAGAATTCCTGATGGTCTCCTATTTAAGAACTAAGTACATTTAGCCCTGCTTAAGTTCCAAGCCCACATAAATAGCACTAGTCAAGTTCTGACACCTGCTGAGACCAGTCTGAAAAATAAAAAAGTACTGTAGAAGAATGAATACATATTTCAAATACCACTACCAAGACTACAATCTTCCACTTATGTCTGCCTGCTAATGACTGCTGCATAGAAAAATTAAAATCTGTATAAATAGTTGTGAATGTCTATCATGCCTATTCCCCCAAAAGCAAAAGACATCTGAAAATGGACTAGGTTGGATGTAAGATAACTAGGGTTGAATCTCCCCTTCTTGAATTGTTATGTTTAACTCAGAACCTCCACTGTGCTCTATCCTGTTTCATTCTTCTGCAGTTTTAGTCCAGTCAATAATGCACTAAATATTCAATAGAGCTGAGCCTCCACATCTATCCAGAATTTAAAAATATGGCCAATTAATTGTTCTTTCACATGCTCCATACATACAGGGTGTACCAAAAGCCAAGCCCATAGGACAATCACAATATGTTTTATTGATTAAAAAAATCTGCAAAGAAAATGTTGCTGTACTTAGGAATTTTCAAAGATCATGCATTGAACAAGTAAGGAAGTATTTAGAACAAAATAGCAGCCAATTTAATGAAATGTATATGCTAAACTGGTATAACCTGTATTTTTATACAGAAAAGGATTTGTTTTTGCTATTTGCTTCTCCGAAAGATTCTTTCAACTGAGGTTTGAACAGAAGTCACTCTCACTCCACTATTTAACTACCATTTCTATGCATTCTATTTACAGCTATCAAAAATGGTTTGATGGAAATACTAATGATAATACTCTTTTTTCTCACATCCTAGTGCCTTCTAAATATGTTGGCTAATGCTTCTCATAATGCCTAACGACATGGCCACTACCTGTATAATCTATAAAGCACCTCTGAAGGGGTACCAGACTGGGGAAGCCTTAAAACAATTCTCCTTCCTCTTTCCTGCTGATTGAGTTATATTCTGACCTCCATTTCTCTGGTGAGTTGGCAACTCTTGGCTAATTTGATCCAGCTGCGATTCTGCCTCTGATATGGCCTGTGGAGTAGTCACCATGGCTCCTGTCTGCTGGATGAATTGTTGTAAATTACATTGCCTGAGTTCCTTATTCAATTCCTCCAGCTCTTGGTTCTGGGCCTGAAAGACAGAGGAGGAACAGGCAGAGTAAATTCCAAATCTTGTCTTTATTTGAAATAATAATCACCTAAAATTGCAGGGAATAAAAGGTTTTTAATTTCATCTAAGCTCCACCCAGTTTAACTCTTTTCTCTTTATTCCTTAAATATGTAGTTGACACCTATCAGAATTTTCAAGGCAAGTGGCAAATGCTATCAAGACACACCTATCTGATCTTTCAAAAGTGGAGGAGAAAATTGCCTCCTTTGTTATGGAGTCATATTAAACTGGCAGCCCATTGTCTGGTATTTATTGGTGATGGTGTTTATGAAGGGTGCTGGGTAGAAGTAGAAATCCATCCAATACTTCAAGGCAATTTATTATAATATGTAAGATATCAAAAAGCATATAATCTCAAGATCAGCTCCCTTCCAGTCAAACACACGTTGGCAAAGGCAGCCAAAGATAATCTTGCCCAGCTCACATTACCTCACACTGGTCAGTCTTTGGGTGCTTTCCTCATTCCAGGGGTTTGATTAAGATCAGCTGCTGTAAAAGTATCTCTATTTACAAAGTGGAAAAAAGAGAACCTACTGGTATAGCTATTTTATCACAGATGGAGAATTCAGTGGACAATAATAGTTATTCTACCATAAAGGAGGAGAAATGCTAGGAGGAGGGCGTATCAGTGCACTATTTTACAGACGGACACTATTTCTAAATAGTCCCTATGTTAAAAAAAAAAAAAAAGAGAGAAAGAATCTAGGAATCTGATAACCAGCAACATTCCAGTAGGAATAGGCAACAAATTAAGAAAGTATTAGGACACAAATATTTTTGCTTTATAACTCTGCATCCAGTGGAACTAAGTACCCAGAACATAAGATTTTATCTAAATAATATTAAATAAATTACAGACTTCGTATAGCTGTGCAGAGAATGAAATATGATGCAGGACTGCAGACAATTTCAGTTTAGAAAGTCTCCTTTTTGTTTTTCTCATCCACTCATAAGTAGTGAAGATCTTTACTACTTTACTTCAGATAGGAGACATAATAAGTTAATACAGATGCCACACTGGATGAATCTTGGAAGAAGTGAGGAACCAGACAATAGATAGACATTGTGTGTGCGTTCTTATGGAGTCCTCATTTAGTCAGCCTTCAATCAAAAAATCGCCAACAAGATAGCATATTTAGAGGAGTGGACATAAATTGTATGGTGCAAGAGGGAAAAAAATAATTATTTATTCTAGGAATGAAGAATTATCTTGAATTCCCCAATGACCTAGTACAGTGTTTCCCAAACTTGACAATTTTAAGGCATGTGGACTTCAACTCCCAGAATTCCACAGCCAGCTGTGGAATTCTGGGAGTTGAAGTCCTCATGCCTTAAAATTGTCAAGTTTGGGAAACACTGATCCTAGTACAATATATTTAGTTACTTTTTTCTTTCAGCAAGAATAGAAATTCTCAGGCTTTTTCTTTAATCACAGAACTGCAAACAAGACCTGTATCAAAGAAGCCAAATTATGGGGTATGGCAAATTTAGAATGAATCCAAAGCTTTAATCTTTATATTTGCTGAAAATAAATTTATTTGCAGGATTTAGTTTATGCCTGGACGGCCTCCTATACTTCAGGTATTAGATTCTTGTATGTCCCATTGTACCATAAAATGAAAAGCAAGTTGATCTTTCAAGACAAAGAACTGTGAGGAGGTTTATGTAATTTACAGAATTTCTAGCCAGTATAGACAATGAATGTGCTGGTTGGAAATATTGGGCACTGTAGTGTCTCCACATCTGAACAAGGGAAGGCAAAATTAGCTTACCACATGCAATTAATGAAAACTAGCCATCCCCCTCTTCTCAAATCTCATAGGGCATGAAAGTAGCCAGAATTGCTTTAACAGTCACGGAACTTTTAATCATAGGATAGCTTCATGAAGCCATAGACTATATGCATAAGGTGGAGGGAGAAGAAAGGAAATTAATATCCAGCTTAAATTAAAAATGCAGTTTGGTTATTATGTTGATTTGCAATGATTTTGTTTGGATCACATTATCTCATACTTGAACATAATTTGAAGGTGGTTCCCAAAGAGATATACATAGGCATCTAATTCTGCTTCTAAGCACCGTCATGGAGAAAACAGGTGTAGCACAAATGCAGTGTGGAATATCTGCCATCGAACAGTCATTAGAAGCAAGCAAAATCAGAGAAGCATGTCATGAACGCAAATGTTGAAGGACAATCCTTTGGACTCACGCATGGCTTGCTAAGAAAAGGATCATTAGCTCTAAGCACAAACCTGCAGATTGTGCTCTACTTCCTCCAAGGCCCTCCCAACCGTATCCAGGCTGCTTTCAAGTTGGGCACTTTGCTTGGACTTGGCTTCCAGGTCTCTTTTTATTTTAGCTGCCATCTCCTCTAGCTCAGTACGATTCAGGGTAGAAGTTTCCTTGGTCCTCTTGGCTCTCTCAGTAATTTCCCACTGGATTTCTCTTTCCAAGGTCTCTGTTTTTACCATAAGTTCATGGATTTTTTTGGTATACTCCTCCATTGTGGCCCTTAGGCTGTGCACTTTCTCCCGCCGCTCCCTTTCGTGCTCTTTTTCTGACTGTAGCTCATTCTGCCAAAATTCTTCCTCACTCAGCTGGCTCTCATTTTGGTGGATCAGCTGCTCCAGCTGCAAAATCTCATCCTTCTGATAAGAGCCCTGGCTGCATTCCCAGTGCCTGATGTCCATTTCCAAGGCATCACCTTGCATCTCCAGCGTGCAGAGATGCTCCTGTTGGTGTAAGACAGTCTTGAATAGCTCCTCTTTGGAAAGTAATCCCCCTCTGGCTCCATCTCTAACACACATCGGGTCCTTTTTGGGCTGCCTCAGTTTGTTTTTAGCACAGGCATCACTTGAACTCACAGGACCCAAGTTGAAGGTTAAAGATTTTTTGGGTTGCCTGGTTCTAGGTACTTCTGTACTGAGTGGTCTAGGTTTAATAGGCAAGCTAGCCCTGACAAACGTCCTCTCAGGCATCTGGGGGGCACTGTCTGAAGAGGGCCTCTCTATGAGGCTGGGACCAGTACGTTGCAATATAAATTGCACATCCTGGGCATACTGGCCACATTTGGACAGAGACTCTACAGGACATTCATGTGGGAGAAGCTGTCTCTCCTTCTCACGTAGCCTTTGGATGAGAACATAGCGGCCTGTTTGACCTGAGAAAAAAAGAGAGATTATGAGGAAAAGATTCCTTTGTTACAAATACACCAGTAAATTTCCTTTCTCTTATCCAGCTGTATCAGGCTCACATTCCACAGTAATTTTCCTTGCCAACCCACACCCATTACCCCCTGAAGGCAAAAAACTTTGAAGAATGGGGCATGGAGAATGGGGCAACTGATTCCAGAAGAAGCATGGACAGGCCTGTAAATAGTTAAGTAATAAGAAGAATTGCCAATGGTCTTCTATTTTTCTTTGTTATTTGAGTCTATATACCTAATAAGATATCTCCATACAGAACTAAGATTTAGTGTTTTTTTTAACTGGAGGTACCAGTTTTAAAAACAGTTGTGATTTGGGAAGTGAGAATTTGAGAAGTGGCTTATGCATTCATGCAGCAACATTTCTTCAAATTAAGCATGACTTTCACAGAGACCCTCATCTATGTTGATAGCTCATATATTAGTATTACAAAAGCACTTTAGAAAAATGTCACACTGTGCATTACTTTCACCTGTGCTCTACACCAGTGGTTCTTAACCTTTTTGAACGAATCGCCCCCTTGAGCCAATGAGGAAGTTGTCATCGCCCCCCCTCCCCCAACATAACCTCTCAATCACAACATAGGAAATAATTCTTCAGTTTATGCAAACACTTTTTTTGTTTTCTTTAAAATTGTCATCAGGACATATTGATGCAAATAATTTATTTCCAATCTTCCCCATATCTCAACTGTGTGAAAAGTTTTGGTGCCACCCATCACTTTATTCCCAAACTTCATGATATATATATATTTCATTATTATCTTATTTATTCAAGACACTTAAATGTAATGACCACTTTGAAAACAAAATTCACTTGCAAGAAAGTGAAATGCTCAAAAAGAAAAATAGTAATATTTAATGATTGAATTACAAGTAAAATTTAAGACGCAAAAAGAAATATAAAAAAGGTAGAGGCTGCTGCGCAACGTGCATGAAGATAAGCGATGCGTATTCACATATGTATGGCGTTCTGTACTGAAGCTAGCTGGAGGAACATTTGAAAACACAATTCAATCCACTAATAGCGAGCAATCTGATGTTTTTGTACGACAGCTATAAAGCGATTCATTGTACGAAAATGTTTCAAAAGTGTCCCCAAAACTTCTCGCTCCATCGCCCCCATATTGCCCCCTTTTCATTACTTCGCCCCTTTTTGTTCCATCACCCCCCTGAAAAATGAAGTCGCCCCCTGGGGGGCAATATCGCCCAGGTTAAGAACCACTGCTCTACACGGTCACTATAACAAAATGGGCATGCTCTTATCTGCAGCATTTTTGCTCATTTAACAAATATTCTTCACAACATACCACATATTATCCAAAATGTTTCTATCATACTTTCAAGTCTTATTTTTTTCCATATTTAATAAACATCCTGCCAAGTAACACATTTGGATACTTGCTCTATTTTTCATCATTTATATATCACTTCCAACTGTTCACTCCAATTGTGAAAAAAAATTAACTTGGTCTTTGTTACACTAATTTTCAGATATATGCTCCTTGTTCCATCATATAATTTTCTAATATTTGCTGCAAGTCAGTTGGCTTCTCAGTCAACTCTATGGCATACAAGAATACACGTTCATTCACATCCCTGATTCACACACTTCTAACATTGCACAAGCATTTATTTATAAAATTTATTTGTCACCCATATCGTATCTAACGACTCTGGGCGGACAAGCATTCCTTAAATAATAATGCAAAAAAGCATTAAACCAGGGGTCCCCAACCCCTGGTCCGTGGACCGGCACCGGGCCGTGGCATGCCAGAAACTGGGCCGTGCAAACAAGGAAAACCCCATCTGTAGGATGCAGACTGTACATGAAACTACACCCCCTCGGGTCCACAGAAAAACCTCTCTCCCCGGAACTGGTCCCTGGTGCCCAAAAGGTTGGGAACCCTGCATTAAACAACCAAGGGACATTATACCCACTTGTCTTACACTGCTCAGAGTTAACCATTCAGGGAGTTTTCCATTTATTTTTTGTGTGTGCTTTGTTTTCATCATACACGGCTCTTAATATACCGAACAATCAACCTCTGATTCCATATTCATGCAAAACATTCATTTTATTGTACACTTTCATTCGATCAACAAACTTTCAATAAACTTCCTCTCTCACACTCATGCTTTTCTTGACGACCTTCCAAAGAGCAAAATCTGTTCTTGCATGGGATATAGCCATACAGCCCTTCTCAAATTTTGCTCGTTGTCAATTTCACATACTCTTTTGGTTAGAATTCTGCCAAACACTTTCCCAAGCATGCTTAACACACTAATCCTTCTGTAATTTTTGCATTTTTTTCTTCCTATCTTCTCTTTGTATGGGGGAACAATAAAAGCATTCTAGCAATTGTTAAGGCAAATATAGGTTTCAAAATATTAATCAAATCGCACAGCCACTCTACAAGCATATCACATTCATATTTTAACATTTTTCCACTTACACCATCTCCACTGCAACTTTGTAAATTTTCAACATTTTCATCTTTTTCATTATTTTTTCATGGAGTTCTCTATTTAATCTTACCCTTTCTTTGCTGACTATATGCTCTTTCCTATCTCTTCACTTTCCTCTACATACCTATAATCCAGTATCTTTCTCTCATGCTAATTTATAGCAGCAACTGTTCTCTTATGTAGATTTTTTTATCATCCACGGTTTTTTTTTTACTTCATTCCACTCTGTGTCTTTTCCATACACTTTCTTGGAATTAACTTTTTACATTGGATTCTGTCATTTGATTCTCTTCACTCTCTCCAAGCAGCTTCCATGTGCCTCTTTATTACAGGTAGTCCTGGCTTAACAAAGTTAATTGGGACTAGAAACCTCACTGTTAAGTGACATGGTTGCAAGTCGAAAAATCATCTAATGATGCTACTTAGTGACAGCAGTTCTGGCAGCTGACATCATAAAACAAGGGCCATATAAGTCATTAAGCAAGGACCTCAAATGACTGCAGCTTTCAACTTCCTGCCAGCTTCCCCATTGACTTTGCTTCTGAGAAGCTGGCAGGGAATGTTGCAAATCACGATGATGTGACTGTGGGGATGCTGTGCTGTCCATAAGTACAAGATTCTGGTCATAACTACTATTTGCTCAGTGCTATCATAAGTTGGAACTGTCAGCAAACAAGAAGTTCACCTGTACTTCCACTCAACACTTAATCTATACTTTCCTTAATAGAGTCCATTTTTTCTTTCTGTAGTCATTCTATAACAGTATTTGCACTCAAGTTTCCTTTCCTTTTATGCCCATTCCCCTCCCCCTATCTTCTTCTGACTGTATGAATAGCAACCTGTCCCAAATTCAACAGCCTCTCATCACCTTCTCTCAACATTTCATTATAATCAACCAATTCCATCTTGCTTCCAGATTCTTTCCTTTACTGTATGAATACATGAAAGGACATATGTTTAAACCATGTGTTTAAAACAAACAGCCCTTCTTCCAAACAGTTATTCATAATCATTCCCATTCATTCTTGGTCACTTCCCCCCCCCCACTTGTACTCTTCTCTCATTTCCAGGCTTCCATTCATGCCATTTAACAAAAAAAAACCCACCCCACCCTACCTCAACTGCATTCATTCAAAATGTTGCATTCCCCAACTTCAACTTTAATTTGTAACGTAACATAAAAACTATTACCATCCCATGAATCCCTACCTGTATATTTACCCAAACCAATCTAGACAAGTCATATATATTGTACTTTCTGATACTGAATTTTGCCCTTTCATTCATAATTAAATTTACATTTTCTTATTTACATGCATTTATTCATCAATTCCATTTCACAAGATCAGAATAACATCATGCAGATCTATTCCGTCCCTTTTTAATTTCAATTTAAAAATCATTTGTGGATTCAGGTTTTTTTATCTTAAATTTCTTTCACATTCCAAGTTTTAATCATCTCTATATCAGTCATTGCATACTGACCAGTTTTCTTGGTTTTGATATAATGCTTTTTAGTAAGATAAAGGAGTGTAGTCTAGGTGACCAGCTTTTGTTATAGCCATACCACGTGCAGTGTTCCATGCTTATATCCTGAACAGTACTAATCAGTTCTGGCATATTTTGGCCAGCATGTTATGAACACAACCAAAGTCCAGTTTTACCCTATACCTGGCATGATCACCCCGTACAATGCAAAGCAGAATTCTAATCTAGAGACTATCTTGTAAGCGAACATAATGTTTTCCCCTTTGATTTTTTTTCCTGCTGCCAAGTTCACTACTTTTCCCATATGGTCACACAAGTGCAGCAATGTAAGGAAGGTGCAGATTTCACAGCATAAAAGGATATTCTTAGTTTGTGAAAACAAACCTTTATTAGTAAAATCTGTTAAAGATGGAGCAGATGAACAATTACTATACCATATATTTAAAATAATTTTGCAAAGAATATTTAAAAGAATATTTAAAATAATTTTGCAAAGCTCGGCAATAATAATTTTGAACAGTGTTTTTCAACTTTGGGAACATTAAAATGTGTGGACTTCAACTCCCAGAATTCCACCATGATAATTGTGGGAGCAGGAATTCATGTCTTAAATTTGCCAAGGTTGAAAAATGTTGCTTTAGAACAGCGGTTCCCAACTGTGGGTGCTCTCACCCCCTGGGGTTGTGAGATGATATTCCAGGGGGTGCGAAAACTTGGGTTTTCAAAATTATAGTGAATATGCATAATTCGTTGCTGTTATTTTGAACTTTTGTAAGGGGTGTGAGAATGTATCAGAAGCATTCTAGAGGTGCGGGGTATAGAAAAAGTTGGGAGCTGCTGCTTTAGAAGAAAGAAACGTCGACAGACATTGTGAAAAAACCTCTGATCATTCAAGTTGTTGTATTTGTGCAACTGCCAATTGTTTACATAAACAATTTCCTCTTGGATATCACATGAATACAGCACTATTTTGCTAATCAGTTTTTAAAAAAGAATTTTGGACAGGAGATTAATCTGCAATTCTATATACACTTACCTTGGAAGTAAATCCCCTCAGTAATAGATGTTTCTCAGGACTGGACTGCATAAATCCTTTTAGACATCATGAATATAAAAACTACTTACCAATGGCCCGTGCCAGTGCTATGACAACTTCCTGACATGTTGTCTGATCTGAAACGCCGCATACAACCCGCTGGACTCCATCTACCCAGACTTTCAACTCCATCACAAAAGGATTAAACTTTCTGGATCATTTCTGTGATTTGTTCCTACAACAACAATTAAAAACACCAACAGAAATGTAAGCACAGTATGTTGTTTGATTTCGTTTACGTGTAAGCAATATGGAACAAGGAAACATAGAAGCAACACTTTGGAATGCTTGAATGTGGCTTCTTTCCACACGTCACATATCCAGCTCTCTTGCTCTAATAGTAGTTTTAGGTAGAGCACTAGCAAAAGTTCAAATGAAAGAATTAGTCATAAGCACACAAAGCTTTTCAGTTTCACTGTTTCATAGATCCACTACTCCAAAATGTTACATAATATAAATATGAATGTTCAATACTCTAAATAAGCCAGCAACATCTGACTTGAATCTTTAGAAATCAATCCAATTACGTTACTAACTACAATTATGCCATTTTTGCTTGTGCTTGATTTCTCAAAAACTGTACTGGGGCCTTAAGTCAATTGAAAAGTAACAGGACTGTACAATATAGTTCTATTTTTTAAACCATTAGCTCATTGCAATAATGAGCATTATATGTTACCTACATGCCACCCATAAGCATGAAAGCGCTGAAATGAAATAAATTGCTCAATTTAAGAGCTTTAGTAAGCTATGGAGGTGTAGTCAACTAAACATACATGGATATATAGTGGATTTAACTTTTATTTATTATTGATTAGCCTACATGTAAGCTAACTAGAACTAGGGAGAAATTTCCTGACAATTAGAACAATTAATCAGTAGAAGAACCTGCCTCCAGAAGTTGTGAATGCTCCAACACTGGAAGTTTTTAAGAAGAGATTGGACAACCATTTGTCTGAAATGGTATAGGGTTTCCTGCCTGAGAAGGGGGTTGGACTAGATGACCTCCAAGATCCCTTCCAACTTGTATTATTATTATTATTATTATTACACATATAATACAGCATATAAACACTGAAGTCACAGACCTAGAATATGCCAGGCAACGCAAATGCATCTGCATTAGGCTACATGCTATTAATTGCCAGAAATATGTCACTTCCATTCTCTTTAAACATCGAGTAAAATGGCTTCATCCCTAGCAATAATTCTGTGCTTTTCATATGTATTTAAAGCCTTGGAAGAAAGATGGGTAATTTGTTTTTTTTAATACTGGGTTGGGCTGGAGAGTGAAACAGATCCATTCTAACATGAAACTTATAAAGAGCTAAAATTATTGCAAAGCAGTCCAAAAAGCATTTCTGTGCTTTCTCCATTTCTTTCTTTCATTTTTAATTACAAATAAATGGCTAAGTCTTCTGGTACCTCAAATAACAAAAGCAAACATTGCATAGATATGATTTTGAATAATGCAAATATGGTATGAATGAATCAACCATCAAAACTGAAAATAATGAAGACTTGATTACCAACTTGTTGGAATTGAGTCCTGACTAAAAAGACAATACTACACCTAAAAATCCTTCTCCCAACTAGAATAACATGAAACAAATACATAACCTGAAAAAGGAGAAAACAAACAAAACAAAAACAATACCAATGACTTAATAGCTGGACATCAATACCCCAATCAACAACTAAAAAGCCACACACCATCAGACATCATATAAATACCGCACAGAGAACAGCCCAAAGCACACACTCTGCTAGAAAGGTTCCCTATGGATGGGCTCCAGCACGGGTCCGAAAGCTTGGAAGACTAAACCTGTGGTCCCGGTCACCAACCCAGATTGGGTCCTGCAACATTATCCTGGGACACGTATACTTGTTTTCATTCGTAAAACAAAAACAAAACAAATACATACACACTATGGCTGCAACATGTTGAAAATACTTTTCTATGAAGTTTTATTTATATATCTCAGCTTTTTCTCACCTACTTCAATAACCAGGTTTTTAGCACTGGGTCTTAACTTTGTCAATAAAAGGAACAATTTTTTGCTCTAGACAAAAGGAAGCCAGCCAAACATAATCCTCCTTTAAGGATTTTCAGAGTCTAAGAACAAATAAATGTAATTAGGTGTACATATTTGTGGTATGTATAGAGAGGAAAAAAGGAAATATTGGTGTACAATAGATTTTAAATTTGAAACATCTCAAAATACTCCACTTTGAATTTAAAATGCTCTGTTCTGAATTCAAAACAGCTATTGTGATGTTGCCAGAAGTATTTTGATATTACTGATATTCCTGGAGGTTGGATACAAATAAAATTAGAATGAACTAATAACTGAAAGATAAAGTTAATTCATCAGAAAATCTTGTTCTATGACTTCAAGACTTCCAAAAATACATTTTTAAAAGGATGTTTGTCAATTTTTTATGTTGGCAATGCGAAAAATTCAAAGGTTCTCTGACTTATGATCTGATCTGTTCTATCCTGGTTCTTTTTTGATTTCAGGTCATCACTTCTGTAAATACAGCTATGGCAAAAAAAATTCTTAATGTTTAAAGATGTAAAGGTCATGCTTCAAAATTACATACTTTCTCTTCTTTTTTTTGCACTTTTATGTTGCTTTTTGTCTTTGTCTTGCTTATTTTTTATTCATGTTTTCAATATTTAATAAATTATACCTGAAAAACCTACCTATCATAAACTAAGATAACAAAGTGAAATGTTCTTAATTACTTTGAACTGAGAGGTTATTTTCTACTGTCACTTAAAAAAATGTAAATTTTATCTGTACTATGTTGCAAAACATTATAAAGTTGCATCTTACAAAATTTAATAATTTGTCAGAGCTCTAAGCTGAATCTCTAGTACATTCCTCCAGTACTGGAAAAAATATTAATTCACAAATTTGTGGTCATTTTTCCAGTCATGTCATATTGATAAATATGACTGCTCTGTGTTAACAGTACAGTTCAATGTAATTATAAAAACTACTGTATTTTAAACATGATAAAAGAACAATGATTTAGGTTTTTCAGGAGGTTTTGTATAAATGTCAAGGGATCAAGCAAATTAGGAGAGCAACCACATAACCTTCACTTGTAAAACTTTCTAGGAAAAATAAACTTTTATAATTTTTGAAAGACCAAAAGCTTAGCAAATTGTCCAGCCTAACCCTTATTCCTATCAGCATGTGGTGGGAATGCTAACATGAAAACATTTTCTATTTATTACAAGCTGAAATTGTCCTGGAGCTGAATGATATAAATGTTGTCTGCAGCTGCAAAAGGGATTGACATCAATGGTGCCCAGAGCATAGCACCTGTTAAGAAATTGATATTAAATTAAAAAGTGGCTCTCTGGGGCTGGAGATTAGAAGAATCTCAGCAGATGGTAGTACTTGGCTATCCTGTCCAGGTTTGAAAATGAAGAGGATTGAGACTACTGTATATTTAGATGGAAGATTATGAGGGAATTCATGACTGTAGGCAAGACTGGAAACTTGAAAAACATCCCTGTAGCTAGTTATGGAACATGACTCCTGAACTGTGAGGAGTCAAATTCAACTTAAATGATCTGGATATAATCATAACACATCTGACTTGCTAATTTTTTTACTTTTCATTTACAGATGAAGTCTACGTATTTACTTCTTGAGAGAGATAAAAATACAATCGGGGAGGTGGTGGAAGAAGAGGAGTACTGTGTATATAAATAGCAGGAATATGCAGGTGTTTTTAGCATCCAGTCCAATACACAGTGTGTGTGTGTGTCTAGAATATATACCACTATGCAATTATGGCCTTTTGTGCTTCTATCCATCCAAATAAATATAGTTGTATAGTTACACATTATATTGCAAAATCACTACTCACAAAAGCAACTAATGTTTTAAAAGCAGAGAAGACATAAGCCCGTGGTGGCGAACCTATGGCACGGGTGCCACAGGTGGCACACAGAGCCCTCTCTGTGGACACGCACGCCATCGCCCGAGTCCTAGGCCTTCAGCTGGGTTTTATAAAACCTTTTCACTTTAGGCCTCTGCCGCCATGTGCAAAAAAAAAAATTCAATTAATCTATTTCAACTTCTCAGGGGAAAAAAAAAGATCTCGCAAAGTTGGAATTAATTGATTGAACTTTTTAGTCTGCCGTTACCACCACAGCCACACTCACCCAATGGGCCATGCCCACCCGGCACCCGACGCTACATAAGTAGGTTTTGGGTTGCAATTTTGGCACTTGGTCTCTAAAAGGTTCGCCATCACTGACATAAGCAATTTATCAGACCTGTTCCAAAGGGACCATATATCTCTCTGTCTTCAGAGATTATACAAAAGTCTTTAACTTATTTTTTAAATTAGAGATAGAACTATCAAGGATTTGTACCAGATACAACTATTAGAATCTCTTTCTACTCTGAATTCCTAAATAAACTCAAAAAGCTTGAAGATGTTGTCTCTGCTTTCCTTTTCCACTGTATTCTCTCCCTCCACCCCCGGGTGTTACTCATTCCTTGTCTCTTCCATGCTTAGGAGTGTAGAATGTTCATTTCTTCCATCCAAGTGCGGAAATTATGAGGGAAGAAAATTTCCCTTTCTTTCTTGGCTGGATCTGAAGGGGACTTGTGACTTTTCTAATCCTTTCTCCACTGCCCCTGGCAGCATAGTCATGTAATGCCATCTTCCAGCTCCCCAATCAGATCCATATTCCCTCAGACTTGTTAACAGATGCCAAGGTCAGAACATCTAGCTTGTCAGGAGACATAAGTTGTGAGGATACTGCAGTTGCAACTACTGAAGTAGGAGGAGACATGTACATCCTGTTACTTCCCAGGATCTTTCTGAGTTCTGGGTAATCTTCCAAATGAATGAAATATTTGCCTCTTCTGCACTGGGTCAACAATTTATATAACTTTGAATTCTTTCTACCTCCATCAAAACAGGGAGTGATACAATAGAAGTATTTAAGATGCAAAGATGACATCCCAACATTAGGAGAGTAGAGGAAAACAGGATATATCTTCAGTGTGGGCGGAAGCTACACATAAAACAGGTTCACATCAGTGTGTGTAAATATAAGAAAATATTTGGTACATTTGGCATCCAGGTATGTCCAGGGGAAACGTTCTATAGAAAGATACTTGTAGATTTCAACAGCAATGG